GATCCGAAGTAGAGCCCTTGTCGAGTATTGAACCTTTCAGACGATTGAGCGTCGTGAGAGTCTCATCGCGGAGAAGTTGCATTTCCATCAGCTGCGTACGGGAAGGACACTTGTTACAAGATCAGCCATGCCAACATGATACGGCCAAGGCGCAAGTACTATGCTTGCCATCAATGCCGTCTCAAACGGTCCAAGGTAAATGATTAGTTCTTTTTGTTCTTGTGCGATGGTCTTTTACGTGAAATAGAAGGAAACACCGCAGCGACTGCCGCAGCCCTACCCTATCGCCTCCGCGCGGACAAGAAACCCCTAGGGCAAGTGACTGTCTATGCGACCTGTGGGTGACGGAAGGGGGTTGGTCTGGCAGACTGGCACTCTTGCTAGCCCTAGGGAAGACGAGAAGTACTGTGATCTTGCCTCTCGCAAGTTAGGATCCCGAGTCCTTCCCGTCCAGTCACTTGCCATATTTTCCCCAAAGATTTCCATATTTTCGTTTCCCCCTTGGTCTGTGCTTACAATCAGCAGTGTGATGGACAGCAACCTTGCCATCGCTGTCAACTCTGGAATGTCGAGTGCATCTTCGAAAACCGCGACCAGGAGTCCAAAAGTCAACTTCGACAGATTCGAGACAATCTTATTCAACAAGCAAAAGATGTTCAGACTGTCATCGAGGTCTTGAGGTCGGAGAAATACGCTCACCGAGCAATACAGTCACTATGGCGAGAAGAAGACCTTTCGAAAATTGCTGCCGACTTCGAAAATGGCACCTGGGATACTGGCTTGTCGACGCCCCCATCCCAACCCGAACGGAGAGGCCACGTCTCAAAACTCGCACGAAATAACTCCGCAGGCAGTGAACCCGATTCCGTCGATAGTCCTCACGAACCTCGAACATGGATTCCGAAAATCGACAAACTCTCCAACACCGATCAAGACAAGCGCGCAGGCATCACGCGAAAAGAAGGCCCAGAAAGAGCTGCTGAGATTGCCCTGGAGATGGCTCAAAGCCAATGGGACCTGACTGTGGTGGAACCTGATGACCTCCAGAAGCTGATGTACACCTTCTTCGACGCGCAGTGCTTCCCCCTCTTCACGATTGATCGACGACTGTTCACAGATGACTTTCTGGCGAACCGAAACGAACACTGCTCACCTGCGCTCTTACGCGCCATACTTTCTCTGGCGTGCAGAATCGAAGGCGGCTACGACGCGCAAGAGTCTCATTACGTCAACCTCGGCGATCGCATGTTCCACGAATCGAGGGCCCTTTTGTCTGCCGAGGGACCATCTCGTTTCAGTCTGCCCAACGCACAGGCGTTCGGCTTGCTTGCCATTCACCAGCTAGCGCGCTACAATCAACAAGATACATTAGATCTGATGGAAGAGGGTATTTACGTCCTGGGAGTGTTGGTTGGGGCAATAGACGCGCCTCACTATCCAGTCCCAGCTACTGTACCTTTACTAGCGAAATATCTTGATGGCGCCATAGCTATTGCTCGGTGGGTATCAACTGTGGTCGACTGGCGCCGGCAGGGTGGTTTGCTAACCAGGCTTTGCTAGGATTGCGCGCATGGCCTGCTCATCCGTCAATCCTCCCAATACCAACGGCACGCGGCCGAAAAGAGGTGCCCTTCGTGGTCCTAGAGTAGAGATATGCGGTCGTGAGTTGCTTTCTTGCATCATCTGAACAGGCGAGGATTTACTGATGTTGGCGGAAAGTCCTCGATATCTCCGGCGCCCTCAACGAGCGAGACGAACTCGACATATTCGAAGAAACTTTCACACAGGTTATCGACGCGGTATACACATTCTCTCGCGCCCCCAGCACAAAGGACCACAAGGACGACCGGGACGCTTTAATGCAAACTTACAGAACGTGCCTCGAGTGGTATTCCAAGATCACCGGAGCGCTGGATTTTGGCAATCTGGACCGATCTGTCATCATTTTCACGCAGTAAGCCTCCATTGACACTTTTGTTTTTGCGGCTCGCTGAATTTACTGCCAGCCTCGCGTATCACTTCTGCTTGCTGAACCTCTTCCGCCCCTATTGCGACTCGACCCCCGCCGGAAAAAATATTGACTTCCACGAGATCCGGAACGAATCCGCTTCGGTCATTGTCGCCCTCTGCAAGACATTGCAGGACTTGATTCCTCAAAAGCGCTGGCATTGTTTCCTGGCCCTATTCGTCTACGCAGCTGGCCACACGATGATACCCGTACAAACCATGCCAGAGCTGACGTCTGGTGACAGTTTTGAAAGCAGAAGCACGCAAAAGAGTGCATCATCTACAGCCCCTTCCATCCTCCCCACTCTCTCAGAACGGTCAGACACACCGTCCACCGGCGCGACGACGCCAGTGCCAATGACCAACGAGTTAACAACCCCGTCTGCCACAAGTGACGTGATTTCACCAGACGACATGGCACGTACTTCTGCATTGACGACGTTCGATATTGGGGAGGCCGTCTCATGTCTGGGAAAGATGAAGACGATTTTTCCTGTGGCGCGAATGACAGAGCGCTGGTTGATCGAATTAAAAGGCACCGGTGGTACTACAGAAGCTTGACCCATCGTCTTGTCTGCTGTTACGTCGACGTGTCCCCAAAGGAGCTAGTAATACAGACGGCATGGGCTTCAAGGCACCATGAGACCACATCACAAGATTCAAGTTGGGAGATCAGTATCGATACTGTCCATCAACATTCATTCCATGTTTCCCATCATCGCTACCACCGTGATCGGCTGCCGCTTTCAAGCCTTCACATCGACGCTGCCGCTGTGAATACTGCTCTTGTCGGCTGCCGCAGCGACCAACCTTTGCTTCTTGCACTTCATCAAAACAAATGCAACGCCACCGACCACAGCAACGACGCCTAGCGTAACCATGGCGCCAATGACACCAGCAACAGCATTAGACATGCCTCCCTTGCCACTGTCCTTGTCTTCCTGGCCGTTGGTCGATGCATTGTCGTAAGCGGCGCAGAAATCGGTAGCAGACTGGCACCGATTGCACCAGGTGCTCACGCCGGTAATTGCTTGGTCATTCATCTTATCGAGAAAGGTGGCATACGAAAGCGTGTCGTCTCCCGTGCCAAAGAGCGGGAAGGCCTGGAGCTCGCCAGCGGTGCCGTTCCTGAAAAGGAAGCGCACGCGAAGATCATCCTCTGCGGGGAAGTCCTCGTCGTCGCCGTCGGCATACAGCTCAAAGGCCATCGTGGAGGCGTACCCGGGCAGTCCGTAAAATTCCTCGGACACGTCGAGCAGCCCAGACAGGCCAAAGAAGGCCAGAAACGTGTCGTAGCTGCCAGCAAAGAGGGAGAACTTGAGCTGGCCCCCGGAGGTGACAGTCTCATTGAGCTTGGCGAGGATAGCCCCCGACAGGGTCTCAGCGCCAATGGAACGGTCGGGCTCGGACAGATTCCAGTTCTTGCCCAGCTCGGCAGAGTCGGCCAAGGTCCGCAGCCGGAGGAAATCCTCGTCGGACACGTTCAGGGCGGCAGACGACTCGTTGTGGATCCGAGCCACGTTGATGAGGTCAAAGATGCTGTACGCGTTGGCGTAGGTCAAGTCCTCCGGCTCAATGTTGTACACATCATCGGCGAGGATGTCATAGAATCCATCATAGAAGTTTCGCGTCTCGTCATCGCGCTGCAGGAAGACGTCGCTCTTCTGGAAGGCCTTGGAGGACTCGACATAGCCAGGGCAGTCATCGTCGCCTTTGATCCAAATGGTGTCAGGCGAGCTGTCGTCGACGCCCTGGAGAAAGACGTACTGGTAGCCGTCCAGGGGACTGGTGCTGTTGCTGCCATTGTTGAGGGTCTGCGTGGCCAGCGCAGGGGCAATGCCCGACAGCGGAGGGTACAGGCCCTGGAGGAAGGCAGTGGCCGTGTTCATCAAAATGCCCTGGTCGGGCGCGCTGGCAAAGACCTGCGACGGGACGTACTCATCCTCTGAGATGCCGACGATCTGGTGCTCCGAGTCGGACTCGAGGTAGCGAGCGCGGTAGTCACCTCCCACTCGGAAGTTTTGTTCCGCGCCCAGGCTAGTGAGCTGTTGCGAGCCGTACCATTTGGCTGTGCCTGGAGGGAGCTAGTCAGTCTATCATTCTCCATTCCAGCCATCATCAAGGTCAAACTCACGATCTCCGTGACGAGAGAACACGACCGCGCCGTGGACTTTCTCCGCCGCCGCAGAAGCTGCGGCGCTCAGTAGGAGGGTAGACTTGAGACCCATGGCTACGCAATGAGGCTCACTCGGAATAGATTAAGGTTCGAATCAGAGGAGGGTAGAAATGTGTAGGAGTTGAGAAGGTCCGCCAAGGATTATAAAAGGCCGCTTGAGCGAGGAGCCGAAGGCGGTACGGGCTGTAGACATGGAGTCAAGACGCTCGAGCTGCAGTCCACATCACACTCGTGCATCTCCGAATCGGCCGTCACTGTTCATGGGCGGGCCATCGATAGCTCGCGGCCACTAACCCGATAACGACGACGGATATACTAAAATACAACCCAAAAAGTTCTTTTTTCCCCCCTCGTCCCCAGTGAGTGCTAACTGCACATATAGCAAGCTCAGGCGGTGCAAGCCTCGACGGCCGGCTCGGCTGGATGCTGGTCGCCTGGGCCTGAGCGCAGGCCGGAGAGTGCAGCGATTCCAGCTGACGGTGCTCGCCCATGGTAAATTTCCCATGAGCTTGAATTCGGTAAAAATCTCGGTTCCCTGGGGCTTAGCTTGCCGTTTGGAACGCTAGTCACCACATAGGGCGCAAGTGAGGGGTTGGATGTGGATGACGAGGGGTTCCGTTTCGCACGGGTAGCTTCGATTGGCTTGCCCTGGATCACGATATGTGGAGATGGGCATTCATGACTGCCCAGATAAAGTGCAATAATGTGTATCTTCAAACTGAGCTGAGCTGTCTTGGCTGTTTGCCTGGTGCCGACGCTCCGACTGACATGGACGCGAAGGACCCCGATGAGATAGTGACGGTCCGAAGCGGGGTGGGTGGTAGAAGTCGCCGCGGAGAAACACTGACATGCCGGGGTCTCCAGTCGGCTATGAGATTGATTGAGCTCTTTGATTGCTTTCCATTAGTTTGAGAGTGTAGCTACTGCACGTTGGAACATCTTTTGGTGATCCTCTCTATCGTTACCCAAGTGGCTGGATTTGGGAGTAACTTAACAGCATGGAACTCGATTTGGTCACCCTAGAGCTATGTGTTCGCCGCGACACCCAGCTCAAGGAAGACTTCGGACCACATGTTAGACACTCAAAAATACATCTCTTACTGTTATACTGGGTGATTAGTAAATTGTTTCATTTTATTTTGTTGCAGTAAGCCGCCAACGTTGTTGAGATGCGCAAAGTAACGCGTTAGCAATGCCTGTGATTTAGCATGCCTTGAGTAAAACAGCTTGGGAAACGCAAAGGACTATTTAACTGTTAGCTAGCTCAGTAGAAAGATAGTATATATATATATGTATGTACATCATGTCGTCACTAAAGAGAGGCGACCGCAGGACTCGACATGTCCGCTAATTCAGGGGCTCGTCTGTTTACGCACTCAATTTCCTGCATCTTAATCAACATATGCCGCCCGTCCGTACTCCATCCCCGCTTATATAGCTAAGGGAGAGAGAAATCTCAGTTGCCACTCAATTCCGGTTGAAGTGTGGCTAAGTTTGCTTAATACTTTCATACTGCACACCAGGAGAGGAAGAGTTGACAATCACAACGAATGAACACGAACCTCAGACTCACTCGTCAGGTGTTCACAGAAATGGGCATAGGTAGCAAGCGAAAATCACTTCATGGGCTCAATGCCTGGTAAGTATAGTTTCGCTTTGTACTGCCATCCATGCGCCCATCTAATAAGCAGTTTAGGCCTATTTTTGAACGTATGTCCTGACTCTAATTGTCCCTCAACAACACGCTCATGTAAGGTAAATCGAGCTCTGTTCAAGAGAAGCCGTGATACGGCGAATAAGACTTACCAACATTTCCACTTGAGCTCATTCTGGAGTTGTTTGTAAGGTATGTTCAAAATCAGCCCGTTTCTGCGAAGATGGGTACGTGGAAGTGTTCAAGCCCGCTGCACGGCCGCCTGCCCTAAGTTTGTCAACATACACCAGATGATTGCAGGAAGCCAAAAGCCATGGTCATCCCATAGTGAGTGAGAACTGAGAAGCCACTCTGTTCTAAAATACACGTGATCAGTTGAACTAACTTACCATCCAGATTATCTTACCGTACCTCATATCGTGTTTGCGCCATTCTTTGTTCCCCCCCCCTTCCCCCCCCAATCTCAGGCTAATAGCGACTCGCCTCGACATCCTCTGCCAGAACAACCCACAACCCAATGTCAAATACCATGGGCAACAGCTTGGGCGCCGCGACCTACTCTCCAGCCAGAGGCTTGAAAAAATGTTGAGCCAGGAGAGCTCACTGAGAAGATGGGCGACTTCATAGACCAACTCAGAGAGATCACGATTATGAGCTCCACGCTGCAATCTGGATACATTTAAGCTGACGACACGTAGGTACAGCTTGCGAGATGGTCTGTCCAAAATCCAGACAGGACCTTACCCGTCTTGCTGGCATCATTGTGCTCCAGAAAGAAGGCATTGTCAATCTAGTCGAGCTTCACGATCAATCACTACAAGTAGTAGTGCCAGACGACCCCATACTGACGGAAATGGTGGCAGAAGAGGAGCAAAGGAGGGCGGACATGTTGTTGTCGTCCGGGCGCAACCTCACCTCCGAACTGGCCAATGTTGGGCCACAAGCGGACAATAACAAGGCGCAGATGCAAAGAACACTACATTAAACTCCTTAGTTTTGTTTAAGGAATTGGAAAATTAATTAAATCGTAAAATTCCTCATGCTCGTGGCTTCCGCGTGGAATTGGAGTTTGGATCCGACAATTAGCGTTGCTGTAACGTTCTGTGCTATGGGAGACACCGGGGAGGCGTTGGATCCATAAGGACGAATTGTACCAAACAGAAGAGATCTAGATATACTGAATTCTCAGATTTCTATTATTTCGAACTCTAGAAAATTGGGTATCTCATCCATGGGCTTTGTACTCAGGCGCCAGTGATCTTTCTGAGCGGGTTCTCACCCGTTACTGAGTCGAGAACATCAACACCTGCGAATAGATGGCTAATCAAGGCAAATGTCTTGTTTCTCACTTTCCTTATCGGCGTAAAGCCTTTTCAAGCCAAGTTCAGGCCTGCTCATTCAAAGTGTTATTTCGCCAGTTCTTTCTCCCGTCTCGCCCACTGACCATGGGAGGGCGTTGGCGAGCAAATCGACACGCGGCTCAAGCCAACACATCTTCCAACCAAGCTCATTCTGATCCTGTTCAGCCTACCAAGATCAAATTCGAGAGCTCTTCCGAGGTAGATACCGACGATTCCGTAGGCGAAAAAGCGTCAGAGTCAGCCATCACAATGAAGGAGCCTGAGCCTAAACGAGCACGGTTCGACTAGGGCGCCTGCGACTCCGACTCAACCACAGCTTTCTAATCCTAATGCAGCTACTCCCCGATGAGTGCCTTCACAGCCCAGAGTTTCATGCAAAGATCCACGTGACGTGGTTCAGCATATTCCACATGTTGTAGCCCCGATCCCTCTACCTCACCTGCCAGTGTCGCCTCGTGTTGCCCCTACCAGCAACACTCAGAAGAACCAGTATCCGCAGATACCTGGTCGACACTATGCCCCGAACTTCAATAGAGAATGGAGACCTTGTAACCGATCGACTCCCCAAAACCACTTCCGATTCGACCAGCTCCCAGATGCAGACCGCCCCGACCCATCCTTGTATTCACAGCTCGGGGAGCATGCAAGCAGAGAAACTCTTGCTCAGCGTGCGATTCAGCGTGGAAGGTTTATCCAAGCCCACAGGCAAAGAATTCAACAAATCACTATGAAGGAGAAGGAGATCAATGAAGCACTCGCCACGGCAAAGAAGGAATCGGAACAACAAAAACAACAGCTGGAGCAGCTTCAGAGACAGCACGAAGAAGACAAGCAAAGCTTTCAGACCCAACTCGAGGAGCAAAAGGCATTCGGAAAGGACATGCAGACCAGAAAGAACAATATCCTGGTGAATGAACGCTTGTACAAGAAGGAGGCTGAAGAACTGCGTGAGGAAACAGCGACACTGATAGAGAAGCAGAAGGCTTTGGAGGATGAGATCACCTCTTTGAAGAACTCCATCACCTAGACGAAAAAGCTGAACGCGGATCTAGGAGTGGAGAAAAGGGCGTTCAAAGAGAAGAATGAGCTGAAGCAGACGGTCAGTGACTTGACCCAGGAACAGACCGAACTGAAGCGGAAAGTGGACGCGCTATCGAGGGCAAAGGGCGAATCGGAAGCCAAGATTGTTTCCTAGGAGAGGTTCATCAGCTTCGTCCTCAATGGCCGTAGTGTCAAGAGTGTAGAGAAGGAGATGACGGCGTCGTACCGCAAGCAGGTGCACGATGCACTGGTAAGTGATCTGACTGTCGACATTCCAGTACGAATCCTACTGACACGCCACAGCGTCCGATAGCATCTCAGAGCAGCTCGCGCGCCCCGAAGACTGAGAAACTGTAAACCTACAAAGGCGGGTGGAAGGCACGACTGGTCCAGGAGATTGGGGACCTGTTGATTTTGCAATGGTCTTGTCCAGAAATCGCTCATCTCGCTTCCGTATGTCAGGACCAGACTCTATTGGTACCTGTTAATATGGCACCATTTACTCTCGTGTTTTACTCTCGTGTATATGTCCCTTTAATAGTGTAGTCCTTCTTCGGCCCCTTGACAGTGTATCCAACATCCCACTCTTTCAAGTTCACAGCGTTAAACTTGAACCTATACTTGACATCATAAAAGTCGTCAATACATAAATGTCCAGACTTTGCCTTCCACCCATCGTTCCGGTCTTCGGGGACTTCAAAGTCAATCTCGTGGAAGAGATAGTCGGCGCGCTTGAGGTCATCAGGCTTGACGAACCAGACGCTTAATTTATCCGCGGCGTCGTCGTAGCGATAGACATAGCGCCTCGTCGCGGTGAATCCAAAGCCCAAGTCTGTTTTGAACTCGCCTTCTTCAATGTACAGGTACTCCAGACCCTCATCTGACACGGGCGCCGGAGTTTCGCTGCCTGCGCACTGCAAGCCGTCCGTTGTCTTTTTTCGGAGGAGAAATTGCGCCTTACCGCTAAAGTGGCCGCTGGGATGTGTAGGCAGCTTGCTGACGAGGTCGCGCTCGAGACGCCACGTCCCCGAGAGACTGCGAAAGACGGCTTTGGCGACGAACCTTGGCGTGGTCATGCCATCAAGCGCCACTTGCCACGTGTCCTCCAATGAGGTTTCTGTGTCGGAGCTGTCATCGCGCGGGTCAGGGAAGCGTGATGGCGTTAGGGTGTTCAGGGGCTGCTGGTTGTGCGACAAGGCTGGTAGAGAGGTGGTCAACGGCGGCAGTTGGGGAATCTCCAGGGCCTGTGACATCTCCTGCATCAAAAAGGGGTAATCGCCCATGGGGAACTGCGAGCACCGTGGGTCGTCCCTCAAGTCCCGCGTCCGCTGTATTGACACGTCCTCGTTTAATTTCTCCCGCATAACGGGTGACATCTCACCCTGGGACCAATATCGCGCCAGGAAGCGGGCTTGCATTTGCATGACACCCCAGTAAGGCGAGCGATAGAAACCGACAAAGCCGAGGTTGGAGACGGAGGGATGGTGCGTGCCGTGGAAAGCGAGGGCGACGGGCTGGTCGACGTTTTTGGGGGAGTGGCTCAGCACTTGACGCACAGTCTCAGGAAGGAAACCTATACATGTTGAGGGGTCAAAGCCAGTTGCTGTCACAACAGCCGCGATGTCATCCACCTTTTCGTCAGATGGACTGAGCGTTGCGGTTGTTCCGTCCATAGTATCCAACCTGCCCTTTGAGGTTCTAATGAGCCCTGAGCGGACAAATTCAGTATACCAGTCGCTGACGGCGAGGTATGGTTGTGACCGTCGGTCTTTGTCGCTGAATCGGAGGTGGTCCGAATAGGGGCCCTGATCAGTGCCAAGCGCGCGTTGGTAGATGTTGTGGATTATCTTGGCGGCGTCTTCCGATATGTGACCCTGTGTATTGACGAGCTGTGCTGGACGGTTGCTGAGGTTGTAGGACGCGAAGTCAAGTGGCAGAAAAGGGGCAGCCGCTTTGCCAGCCTGTTGGGTCAGTGCACCGTTTCTCCACGCCAGCTAGAGTACATACCTCTGGGCTGGTGTAAAGAGGGAACACCCAGATCGGCCTTTGGATGATATGGTGTATCGTGTACTTCCCAATGTCGTGGATACCAGAGTCCTCCGGCGAGTGGATGGCTGACGACAGGTGGGTGGCAATGGTACCTGCAATTTCAACACCAGACATCTGCCCTCCCACAACCAAAATCTTGCCTCCGCCTGGTCTTCCTTGGCCAAGTAGACCCTTGAGGTCTCGGTACGAGCTGCTATGCATTACGGGAACATTTTTCGGTGACTGTAGGCTCTCTGGAATGAGGGGCTTTCCAAAGAACCCCGACGCGACTACTATGTAGTCAAACGGCCGCTTTTCCTCGCCTTGGCCTTCCTTGCGCAGGACAACGTCCCAGCCACCGTGCCTCTTGTCTGTACTGATTACATGTGTTCCAAGCTCCAGCTGGAAACCATCCTCTCCGGCGAGGAAACGGTTCAGGTAGCGCTTCAAGTAACAACCGACCTGCCAAGCCTGGGGCAATTGCGGTGATCCTTCCTCCCACGCGTGCTCACTGAAATGCATCGTGTGTTTGCTCTGATTGGTGATCATGAGGGGATGCACCTGTCGCCCATTGTCCTCCCTCGACGTCGGCCATAGCCCGCCAATGTCGTGCTTTGAGTCGACGAGGGTGACTTTGAAGGTGCCCTTGGGCGCATTGTGCAGTAAGCTCTTGGCCGCAACGAGACCTGAAGGTCCAGCGCCTTGAACGGTCAGCGATTCTGCGAACTACATTCAGCCATCGATCCATGCAAGCTCACCGATGACACACACTGATTTCGCCATCCTGTACAGCGACGGCGACATCCAAGATCGCCAAGGGGAGCTATGGAGAGTTGCTGCTGACAGAGAAGGGCACGACCAGGCTCTATAATATTCATGTGGGCGGTCACAGGACAAAGTTTCAGTCAAGGCAAGCACCCCAATGAGTATCGTCAATCAGCGCCGTGGTCGTGCAACTCCACGATGCCATCGAGCGCGGCTTTTGCCGAAATCACCAGTGACCAGACCCTCACTAATTCCTGAAAGAGGCTTAGCGTATGAATGAGAGATTCTTGCTTGTCGGCGATGAGCAGGTCGCCTACCCTAGGGCCGCAGGGTGCACAGCTTATTTTCACAAAAACCTTGAGTGACCAGCATCGAGATTCCAGACGCTGCACCAACCTGGATCTCGAGGTCAAACGCAACCGCCGCACGGGCTCCACGCCAAAAGTGCAATCGACCAGTTGCCCGCAATGCTCTTCTTCGTCCTGCCGCCTGCGTAGGCGCCCCGTTGAGGACCTTGAGGTGTGAGCGGAATGCTAACGGAGTCTCGGCATGTCGTCATACGTTCGTTGTCCATCGTCACGTCAAGTTACTTGAAGCTCCAAATGTATAACTATCGTGGCCGGTACAAGCCAGATTCTACCAATTTGAAAATCCATTGAATTCACAGATCATACAAACCATCACATCACACGTCCAACATGTCTCAGCACGTCCTTCTTCTCGGCGGTCACGGCAAGATTGCCCAACTCCTTACACCGCTCCTCCTCAAGCGCTCGTGGACCGTCACATCCGTCATCCGCGCGAAAGAGCAGGTTCCCACCATCGAAGCACTCGGCAAGGGCACGCCTGGCAAATTGAATGTGCTGCTGAGCAACATTGAGGATGTCGACTCTCAGGACAAGGCAGACAAGATCCTGAAGGAGGCCAATCCGACATACGTTGTCTTCGCTGCCGGTGCCGGTGGTAAGGGTCCCGCTGAAAGGGTAGGTTGAAAACAATCGGAAACACTCTGTTTGACTTGGCGCTCACAAAGACAGACCTTCAAGGTTGACCGCGATGCGGCCACGCACTTCATCAATGCGGCCGCCGGCATCCCTTCCATTACCCGCTTCCTGCTCATCTCCTACCTCGGCTCCCGCCGCCAGTCCGCCTCCTGGTGGGCTTCGGGCGAATGGGATAAGTTCAACAAGGAGGTGAACGAAGGCGTTCTGGCCAACTACTACAAGGCCAAGATTGTGGCTGACGAGGTCCTGTACAAGGCCGGCCAGTCGGGTAAACTGACCACGGTCGGTCTCCGACCAGGAACCCTGACGGAGGAAAAGGCCGGCAAGGTCACCTTGGGCAAGACGAAGATCTCCGAAAACGTAAGCCGGGAGAGCGTCGCCAAAGTGACAGATGAGTTGCTGGCGGCAGATGAGCTGACGACCTCTTGGATTGACTTGACCGACGGTGAGGAGGAGATTAGCAGTGCTGTTCAGCGCGTTGTCACTGAGGGTGTCGACACATCCGAGGGCGAGCCTGTCCGTAGCTCGTAGGCGTGGACGGTCGAACAGGTTTCAGACGGCTGATTGGCGTCGGCATTCCATGCGCGTCACCCGGTGTAGACCTTGAAAGCCAATGGCAAAGGCAAGTCGCAGCACTAGGAATCCAAGAATTTGGGCTTTAGAGACGTTACTTTCGATCCATTGAATGAAGCCTGTTGCGCGATTTGGTTTTTTGATCTAAATGCCCATGATCCATGCCACGCGCTGAACACCGGAGTCCGCGTGCATTGCAGTGTCCGTACCCCGTACTCCGTAGCTGCGCTTGCGCTTGTCCCTCGACCTCGGCCACACGATCCTCACCACCTTCACACTCACTGCCCAGCTCGCGAGACGATTTGATACCGCGTAAAAGAATGTCAGACAAGTCTGTGACCAAAGGCCATGATTGCCTCATCCCTCTCCTGGGTATTGAGCCCGCACACACGCCTGAGAACCTCTACTCATCCAACGTCGAGCACTTCCAATCTACCGAGGCTACCGCGCCCCTCTTTACAAAAGACACCATCCCCGTCATCTTGCCAGCGTTTAATGCCCCTTTGCCACATCGCGAGCAATTTTTCTCCAAAACGTTACACCACGATGAGGGCTTGACGCATATGCTTTCTCTCTTCACGAGACAAGGGGATAATGTCGAGAACCCCGAAACCCTTGTGGAGGAGGTCTATACACTGGCCACGGTGGAGAGGGGGTTGAGCGGTGCTCCGCATATGCTACACGGAGGCGTGATCATGTCTCTGGTCGACGAGGCCATGGGCGCCCTGATAGAGATCAATCGCGCCCTGGGAAAGAAAGGGGAAGTCTTCACGGGGCTTGGCGTCACCGCCGGGCTGCAGATCAACTTCATCATCTTTGTGGGGACCACCATCACGGCCAAGGCAACTATGGAAGGATCGAGCGGGCGGAAGATGAACGTGAAATGCGAGGTCACAGATGAGGCGGGCGATGTAGCGGTGCGATGCTCCAGCGTGTGGGTGGCGGTCAAGGAGAAGTTGTGAAGAGCAAGTCAATATTCAGATGCATGTGGTGGAATACACACGCCAGTCCCAGCCGTGTCGAGTTTCGTCATTAAAGATACAATAACACCGTCTTCAAACGTCAGGCTGCGGGCCCTGGCTCGACTCACCCTTCTTCCTGCCGCCACCAGGAACCATCCTCTGCACGGCCGCCTTCAACTTGGCGGGATCCTCCAGTGTGGCATAGGCCGCCTCGCGCTTACTAGGCTGTCCCTGCTGCCATGTTCCGTCGCGGTCATCGAGGTCGCTCTCGGCCGAGCTAATGCTGCTCTGGGAATTGTTCATGACGACATTCATAATTCTGCCTTCTGACTTCTTGATGGCGGTCTGCTTCTCCTTGAGCTTCTTGAGGCGCTCATCACCGCAGTCCATGACCACGATACCCATGCCGGGGAAATTTTTCTCGAGAAAGTCTTTCAGAAGAGGCAGGATGCGTTTGTCCGGACGGTAGGTCCCCGAATCGTTGTCGATGATGAGCTGGTAGTACGCCGGGTTCCCAGGCGGTGGGCTCTCGGGTGGTCCGCCAGGGATCGGCTCCTCCGGGTGAGTCTTCTCATCGGGCTGGGGATCGTCAGAAGCATGGGGGTGCTTCGTACGCCTGATAAGAAACTCGCCGGAGCAGGCAATGTACGTTGCGACATCCGAGTGCATGGTGTGCTTGCTGAGCAGGTCGATGCCGAATTCTTTGCCGGTTTCGGTGAATCGCAATAGTCCGTCCAGCGTGAGGACGTAAGTGAATATGCGACCTCCTTCATCAAAGTGAGCTAGCCTCAGGAAGGTCAGGGACGCTTCTTCCGTACACGACTCGAACGAGTCGTACTGCGTGGATTTGTCAAAATTGTAGACACGATGGTGCTGTTTATGCAGTGCTGCGTTAAGGACCTTGCCACGAAGGCCTTTTGAGTTGAACATGTAGGAAATGATGGGCTTAAACTCGACGTAGCGATGGTATAATCGCGACGGCACCGGTCCTCGCAACTGCATCTCATTGGCTTGGAAGCTGCCACTGTCAGTCCGAAGTTTACTTTTGAGCCTTGAGGATACTTACTCGTACTTCTGGGTCGATCTTTTTCGCTCCCCACGAGTCTGTCCTTCGGGCTCATCGCTTGAGTCCCTGTTGACCTTTGTGCCCGTGATAAGCCGCCCAATCATCGGACTGAAGTGTTTGAAGTAGAACGATGGCCCAATAGTACACATTTGCGCATATGGCGGGTCAGAGGCGCCCAGTACTTCCATACTAATGCAGAGCCTGGGTGTCATGTCGAAACTGTGATGCTTAATCCCAGAAATGGTTTTGAGGATGAAGGCTCGCTTGCTGATCATCCTCTTCTTGGCATTGAACTCTCGTCCAGGCGGTGGCATGCCCTCCCACTGATCAAACACCCGGGAAACTTTGACCGTAACGTTGCCCAGACGGTCGTTTCGATCAGGGTAATCCTCATCATACATCCGACATTTCAATGAAAAGCCCCCAGGCGGCACGTTGGCGACGGTCCATTCGCTCTTCCATTCGGGCTCAGTCGTTCTCCTGAGAGTGCGGGTACGATATACCAGATCCGGGTCCTCCTTATGCCGTTTGGGCTGAGTTCCACGCAGAGTCGCCGTGAGAAACGGATCCGACGAGGCGGTCCTAAAGTCGGAGGGCGGAAGGTTCTTTGCGTACTCAAATGTGAAGCGCACCGTATACGCTTGCGGCGCATCGGGAAGGGGTGTATCATCGAATCCTCCCGGCGGTCCCTTTCGGGTCAACGCTCGCAGCGGGAAGGCAAATGACCTGGATTTTCGCGGCGACTTGAGTTGTCCACTCGGTGTTGTGGTAGCAGGTGCCGTCTTGGTTTTCTTCGCACCGCTGGCAGCGCCGTCCTGATGGGTCGGCTTCTTTGCTGCTGGCCCAGCGCTGGATGTCTCCGCTTGTTGGTAGGTCATGGTCGCCAAAACTCACTCAGCCTCGAATCTGATTGATTATATATGAATGTCGCGCTGTCGCCAATTGCTGGGTATCACAAATACACGGGTAGCGGCCTGAAGCAAACACAGGGTATCGTTGTAGATTGGAACTCCAAGGACGTCACGTAGTCAAGAAAGCAGAGTCGCGCTCGCACCTGGTAAAGACTGTAGGAGGCAGAGAAGCATGAGCGAGAACGAGGAGTTCGGCTAACACGACCTTGAGACGCAGCGATGTGAAGTGGTGGTCTCAGCTCCGGCTTTTTTGGGGGTAGGCAGCAAATAACCTGCTGCTGCTTACCCATCATCGTGTTCTTCAAGCAAGTCGACTGTCGGACAGCGACGGCCACAAAACAAGCTCATTAGCCCGCCCTACTATCGTGCATGTTCTTGGCGACGAGCGTCGCACGCTTGGAGGCTGGTCGCATCTGCACTAATATTACGTCATTCGCGGCATCGTCTGTGCCGGAGAGTAGGTGACGAAAATGAACGCACAGTCGGCGACATGAACACCGCTGACTACACTGCTTTTTATGTGTCATTACTGCTCAGCGTGACATGCTTTGCCCATCGTGTAATGAAAATTAAAAGTCAACCTTTCTTATCCCACATGCCCGTGGTGAAAATCCGCTACTTTAGAGATTGCGTCGATTCCCGTGCCGGCACCTGATATCCGACCTCGACGCGTGGCCTTTGCAGAGCACTTCAAACCACCTGGCATCATTGTCTTGAGACACATCGTGGACAGCCGAGCCTTGTTGAATCAATTGCTAAAAGAGATCATATCAAGGTATCAATCGGTCTACGATTTAGGGTAGCAATGACATTTTCGGTACATGATCTCGAAGCACCCATTGAGTGAACGCAGTGACACATCTCCCCAGCTCCTTCATGGTCCATAGTGTTCCGGTCAGCTCGATTCAGCACGTTGATCCACCCCTGTTTACGCGGAAATTAGAATCCAGCATTCCAAATCCAAGCTTTATGCCAAGCTCAATCGATCTAGGCTTATTTCCGTGGGCTCTATAATTTTATCAATCCTCAATTCTCAATTGGAGATAGTTGTAATTATTGATTAGGGCCGTGTTACCAGAAGCCCGAGACCCCGTCCCTCCTCCACACAAGCAGTAGATCGCGGCTAGCCTGCACGAGTACGTTACGTACCTAGCTTTGGACACTTGAACATAACTACCGCCCGAGCTACAGGGAGGTCCAAAACGAGTGTCCGCTTTCCTGTGGTACAATGTATTATAACAACGGCTATTTTTGGACACGGTGGAGCCCTACAGTGCGCCCAGGGATAGACTACACGAGCGCGAGGTAGCGCGACAATTGCGAAGCTGCCCCCCCTGTATTCGCTAGCTATATTCACCCCTGCAGCGTCTGGTCCCACCCCTCTGCAACACATATCTGCATGCCTAACGTAGGAAATTGCTCTATGCTCCTTTTAGTTACTTGATCCCGTCACCCATATATAATGAGCCTCCTGCTGCTCCGGCAGTAGTTTCTCTCCAACCTATTCTTACTGTTCCTATCTATCGGGACCTCACCGCTAGCCTTGATGTCCGCCATGTCCTCTACTATCCAGGTCGTGCGCTTGGTGGGGTTGCTGGCCCCACTACCCCTTTGGAAGAGCGTGGAAAGAAGGGATTCTGCCTAACAAAACCAATGCTTTCCCTCTCTACCCCCAACCAAAGTTATTCACGAGTAATCTCTGCTCGATGTTTTTCTCGTCATTATGGTTGAAGCATGCAGTCCCAGCTAGTGGCTTTATTCCGAGGACTGTGAACTTGGCGTTTCTTCTCCTGGTCATGTCATTGATGAGCCTAGCCAGACTTGTTGCCCACCCTACACCCTGAAATGGACACTCTGCCAGAAGAAGACGAGGCTCCACAAGCTCACTGGGAATGCGGTCCAGAATATCACATCCTACCCCAGCATATTTTGGGGCGATGAACTCGAGTCTGAGATTACAGATGTCGTGGCGCAGAAGCGACTAGCCAACACCCACGAGGCTGAGGAGACTCAGATCGTGTTTTCAATCAACGCTCGCGGCGAAGAGGACATACCAAGGCGTTCCACGGGGTCCGACGTCAGCTGGGAGGAAGCAGATGAGCAGATTGATAAATGGTCTGATCTTGTGCGGAAAGGCAAGAAGTTAACGATCAACGTCACCTTCATTTATAAGGAGTTAGATGTTCCCCCAGGAACGAGAAGAGGCCGTGGGAGGAGCGCGACAAACTCTCAACTCTTTGAACGGAACGCTATCCTCGGAGACGCGGGCGCCGAAGAAAAGCCACTCTAGGAACAAGTATACTCTCTTCTGGAGTGCCCTAGCGCTAGTTGTGATATCGGGCCATATTGTTGGCGCGATCCTAATGGGTTGACACGTCACGCGGTTCCAACCAATATCCTCACGAGATTGGTTGACTATGTCGAGAAAGGCGGTACGTTGAAAGAACACGGTGACGTGCCGAAGCACCTCCAGCATGAACTAGCCAACCCGCCAAAGAAACGCAATCAGGTCGATGCTCCACACATCAACATCACCAACGTGATGCCAGGGGTGGAAGCGACGCCCGCTGCCAAGAAGATTAGAATCGTGGGGTGTCGCGACATAGCCATACAGCGTTACCGCGACTGGCATTGCGGTAAAGTGGACGGTTTAGATTAGAAGGAGGAGTTTCATGCCATTGCTCAGCTGACGCTCCAAGCGCGCCTGTCCCTGGATCGGCTCCACGCGGCCCAGGAAGAAGAGGTGAAGTACTTTCTATCGCACGGGATGTCCCGCGGTATAGCGCACCAATGGGTGAGCATGGTGGAAGAGTGGTGGGCGGAGACATCACAGATATAGGCGGAGATGCATTGTGCTAGTGAGGGTAGTCTATGGCAATACTAGCGTGTCGAAAATGAGCTTTAGCGCTCTCACCCTTAGCCCCTACGTAGCTGATGCACCATTTGAGGAACGTAGCGAATGATCCGCCTTTGCTATCCGTTTGATTCCACTCTTTCCGCATGAAACCCTTCACCTCCCCGAAATACTCTTCTATAGGGTTGAGATCCGGCGAATAAGGTGGAAGAAAGAGAAGCTCAACACTTTCAGCCGAGCACAGCTCCCTTAGCCGATCTGCACGATAGAAGCTTGCATTGTCCATCACTAGGACGGATTTCGGTCGTGGGTATCTACCACAATGGCAGAGCAGCTGTCTAACGAAGTCCTCGAACATCTCGTGGTCCGTGGACCCTCGGAAGACGCGAGAAAGCATGACGCCGTCTTATGTATAGGCCGAGATAAACTGGTGCCGCGCCTCACGTTTGAACTCGGCGACGTGGACCGGTGTGATGCCTCGCCGAGCCCATCCTCTCCGCCTTTGTGTTGTCTTGGTATCGCAGCCCGATTCGTCAATAAAGACAAGGTGGTACGATTTGTACTTTGAAAGCTTGAAATGATACAGATACCTCAGTGTTGTGTTACGCTGTTTAGCGATACGCCGGGTCGTCTTGTGTGTCCAATTTCGGGCATGCATTACTCGGCTGATCGTGCTACGTGATACCTCGACGTCGAACTGGTCTCGTAAAAACGCGGCAATTTCTTCGCGATACATGCATGGATCCTGTGTCAGCTTGTCGCATAGCGTATCAACCATGTAAGGTAGGAGACGAGACGGCCGGCCGGTTCTGTTCGGGGGTGGCCGTGTGCGGCCAAAACGGCGAATAGTAGAACGTATTCTTCGGACAGCGCGCTCGCTGCACTGTACTTTCTGAGCAATTGCTCGACTCGTCTGATCTTGCAGAAGCAGAGCCCTGATCTGCTTGTGCTTCTCATGAGATAGCTGTCGTGCCATGGCTGTGCTAGTGTCGCGAACAGAGGTGCTTGGGCTCGGTCGGTGAAGAGTCTACTAGCTCGCGTTGAACTGTTTTCCTCTTCGGTTTTAGCCGCGATTATTCCGCTGCCAGGCCCCTTGGCTCTAGTTGTTCGAAACGTGACTTACACAGCCAGCCAGCTCTCTTGAGGAGGCGTTATGTCACGTGATTCATTAATGTGGATTAACTCGCCTCTCTCCAATTCACCTCGTTCCTGAATTAATCCCACTGGCAGGAGTTTTCACATCCCCATAGCCAACAAGATAGACTCACTTGCGAAAGTATGCGACGGCATTCGCTCACTCTGCGCACAAGAACAGCGTCGACGATATCGGCGTATTAAACAAGCATCTGCGTTTACTGCAGCTACCAATTATAGCCTGGCGGCGCAGTCACAGCATGCAGCGCTACAAGCTGCATCAAGGCGAGGCGAGGCGGGATGAGGCACTGATTGGTTGCTGTCGCGCTTGATGTTGGTTGTGCACTTTGCGTGTTTCGTTTATATCACGGGAGAGCAAACCCCGCTTTGTCCTGCTTTTAGCTCCTGGCTAATCATCTGTTTCCTACATGAGTACGGAGTATAACAAGACGATACTCAATGACTTGTTGGAGCCGATTATCTCCTCGTACTTGTGTGCCGCCTACTCAGTGAAAGGACAAACCATCATGGCCTCTCGCGCGACGAGCAACCGATCGCCCCGCCCTGCCTCGCGCAATGACTTTCACGTCGCCGTTCTCTGCGCCCTCCCCTTAGAAGCTGACGCAGTCGAAGCTGTCTTCGACTAGCACTGGGACGACGGCGGCCTATCATTTGACAAAACACCCGGCGATCCTAATTCGTACTCTACAGGTGTTATCGGCCGCCACAATGTCGTACTGGCGCACATGCCGGGCATAGGCGTAGCGAATGCCGCGTCCGTTGCGAGCGCTTGCAAGACGAGTTACCCTAACATCAGATTGGGACTCGTCGTTGGAATCTGTGGCATCGTTCCCGGTGATGGTAGCGATGAGAGAGTGCTAGGCGATATCGTCATCAGTGACGGCGTGGTGCAGTACGATTTCGGACGGCATATAGATAGGCATTTTATGCGGAAGAACACCCTGCTGGAAAGCTTAGG